ACCCGATCCACCAAGCAGTAATCAAACTGACCCAACGCCGCGTTAACGGCGTGCTCCACCGTCCACCCGGTCCCGTCGGACACCATGTATATGGACTTACCGGCGAACACCGCCGCATCGGTTACATACTCTCCGCCTCGTCCGCCGTCGCTACGGGGCGAGAGCGTCTGGTACTGTTCACTTCCGTCGCCACTGCTACCTTCGATAATTACCCCTAACGAAGAATCGGAATAATTCATTTCACCTGAAGATGGCTGAACCGGCGGGCGGCCCAATTTTCGACCGGATCGAATGGCGCGTGCCCTGGACCAACGGTTCAGCTGAGGGCTCGTTTTGATTCTCCGCGATTGCGATTCGGCTGAGGAGGAAGAAGACGAATCGGAGGCGGTTGGTGAAGAAGGGGCGGTTTTGTGATCGGAGAGTGGCGGATTGTTCGTCGGCGACGGCGATTTTGGGATGTTCGAAAGGGTTAAGGTTGAAGATGAAATCATTGTTTAATATTTTTCGATTTCTGTATTTTATTTTTATCCCTTTTTGCCGACTAATCTATTTATTTAATTGTATTAAATAACTGATATAACAGGATATTTATTTTGGCATTTTCATTTTTTTTTTCCAATATATATATAACAGGTTAATAATAGCCATATGAATAATTAAATAAAATAGCAGATAATTTGGATAATACAAATAGGTACATGAACATATAAGTTATGGTAAATTACGGCCATCCCTGCGATAAAGTCAAATTACTAAAAAATCATTCATGTTTGGTTAATTACGATTACCTCCTTAACTATGGATGTTCTTATACGTGCACTAGGGATGGCAATATTACCCGACCCGGCGGGTACCCGCCCCACCCCGCCCCGTTTTAGACGGGTAATACCCGCCCCGTTAGAGATTGGGGCGGGTAAGGGTTTTACAATTTATACCCGCAACGGGTAAGGGGCGTGTACGGGTATAGTAAAATTTCCCCCATACCCGCCCCGTTTACCACCCGTATTTTTTATTTACGTATAATACCCTTATATGTATTTTTTTTCTATTTATTTTCTTTCTATTTATTTTGTATTAAGTACTATTGTTGAACATAGGTGACTGGGTGACTTGTTCAAAGACAATATGTTTGCATACATATATATATGCGTTGGAAAAAAAAAAGCTGATTTTTTTTAGGAACATAATTAGAATTGATTTTTATATTCGAAATAAGAAAGAATATTTGAAATGATTGAGAAAAAGAAAAACGGATCGTCAAACGGGGCGGGTACCCGCGGCTGCAAAATGGGCCGGGGACGGGTTCTACAATTCCAACCCGTAACGGGTATGGGCCGGGTACGGGTTGCTCGATTTTCTACACGGGGCGGGTGCGGGGATTGCGATACCCGCCCCGTACCCGCCCCATGGCCATCCCTAACGTGCACCCTTCTAGATTCCATATAATGTTTTCTAATTTGTACTCGTTTAGTTCAAAAATGCAATTTATGATGTGCACAATCTGATATTTACAAGGCAAACGACACATTTTATAACCATCTTGTTTTAAAATGTGGAGTTCAAATGAGGTTAAAACGGGTATAAACTGAAAATATTATGTAGGAAAATAACACTAAATTTGACAAAACAAGGATTGATATCTAAGAAAATTCATAATTAAGGGATGGTTATAATTACCCAAAGATAAGGGATTGTTTTGTAATTTAACTTTATCTCAGGGATGGACCGTAATTAACCAATATAAGTTACACTACAAGAAAAACTAGTTTATGTGACCAAATTCTCAGCGACCATAACTAAATGGTCACTGAATGTTCACATTTAGTGACAAAAAGTAATTTTGTAGCAAAAGTGGGAAA